CTCCTGTCCCGGCAGCTTCGGAACCTACTCAGCAGGTACGATGCTCGCCCAGCAGCCCCAGCCTGGGAAGGAGGCTGTTGTTGGTTTAAACTCGAGTCTTTCGAATGTTCTTCTTTTAACTTTTCAGACAAGATTGTTTTCCTCCCCTTTAAAAAATGTTTTTCTAAAAATAAAGCTCAACATAAATGTTTTAAGATCAGATTTGCGGCGAAACCGTTGTAATTTTCCCCATATGTCGCCACAGCGGCTTGTAGATTTTCTTTTTTTAAATAAGTATTTCCACTGAAGCGACCAAAAATAAAAATCTAATATGAAAATGTATTCTTCCCGAAGCGTTTCCCTCCTGTGGGCCGTTTTACGGCTCCCAAATAAATCTTTAAGGTTGCGGGGGGGGGGGGGGGAGAGAGGGGGGTGGGGAGGGAGGGGTGCAAAAGTGCCCTGATGACGGAAAAGCAAGTCCTGCCATGATAATGTCCTTTATTAATATTATAGATGTGCAGTGTGCTAGATGGATCAATCGTATCCATTCACAATCAGGATTAAGAGAGCCTATTTTAATGAAAATCTATTAGTCTCTCACTTGAGACACGGATGTTACTTAAATCAATAAACAGCATAAAAGAGAATACGACGCAGGTTTCTAAATTAAAAAAAAGAAAAAAATCCCATCTATGAAATGTGTTAAGATGTCTGTAAAATCCTGAAACCCTCGATCGATGTTTATAAATATTTAATGTTAGAGTTTGTTTTCTTTTTTTTTTTTTTTTTTTTAACACAAATTGAAAACCATTAACACTGCATCCATTCTTATTATTAAAACAAATTGTTCTTGGAATTATATGCTGTGGAAATGGAGCCAGATTGAAAGAGCACCCTCTGAAATATGTTTACCCGCTTTCATGTAAACCAATAAAAATCTGCAGGAGTCTGTAGCGTGAGCAGAAAGGTTTGATGTACAATGTCCATGATTACAGTCTCTGAATTAATCACGAGAGAGAAGGAGGGAGGGAGGAAGGGAGGGAAAGGGGGAGAGGGGACTCAGTTATCTACTCAACAAAATCTAGTTCTTCTGGTCAGCGCTTATTAAAGCGTGGTTTAAACCCGTGATTTTTCCTGTTTGTTTATTTGCCCCTTTTCGACCAAAATAAGCTGAATCCGGGGGGGGGGAAGCGAGAGGGGAAATAGGTCTCGCCCTACGTCACACCATGAGCAAGTATACAAATGTAAATTCCTCTTATAAATATGAAATCCCATACTTCGCCTTGGAAATGCTTAAAGCTAATGAGACGCTCAAACTCATTCATAATCATCCCTCTCGTCTAACTCGGAGAAAAACCGCGGTGGTCAAGAGGTTCCTTTGAAAAAGGAGTAAAAACTAACACGTGTGTCGGTACCGCTTTAAATAAGCCCTCCTCTGCGACACCGGGTCGGGGGCTTTTCCCTGCCAGAGCTAGATTCCCGGCTCCTAAAGGTCCCCTCGCATTCCCGTCTCACCGGGTGGGCAGCACCCGGGGCCGGACACCGATGCCCGAGGCAGCCGGGAAGGAGGCGGCCCGGGGCGGGCTCTGCTTTGCGGTGGGGCAAGTGAGGATAAGGGAAAGAGAGGGGAGTGGAATGAGCAGGACCCCTGTTTGTCAAGTTAGGAGGCCCAGCAAGGCGGAGGACTCCGGTCAGGTGCCCAGGGGCGGTGGGAAAGGAGGGAGGGAGAGAAAGATTTGAGGTCCTGATGTCCTGCAGGTGCCCCGCAGGCTACTCTGCCAGGGGAGCCCTCAACAAGAAGCTGGTGGACAGTCCTAGGAGGGACTGGGGGGAGTTGGGGAGCAAGGAGAGCGAGGTGGCTTATGCTGCCGCAAAGGGGTACCCAGGGTGCCGAGCTGAAGCCGGGGGGTACCCGGGGTGAGAAACTGATCCGAAGGCAGCTCTGAGAGGCGCTGGTGACTTCTCAGTTTTGCGACAAGGTCCCAGGAGCTCCGTGCCTGCAAGGGAATGGGGTTTGGACGGCAGCTCCTTCCCTCCCTCCCTCTCTCCCTCCCTGCCTCCTTCCCTCCCTCCATCCGTCCCTCCTCCCCAGCCCGTTATCAGGAGCAGCAATAAGCCTAATTCCCCTCTGAACTCGCAGCCAAAGTTTGCAGAGAGGTCATAAGTGCCCCCCACTTTAGCCTACACCCGCACCTCGTGCCCTAGGTGTCAGCAAGGCCGTGGACAGAAGTGGGGGCCAGACCCACTCCCCGCCGCCCCGCCGGGACAGGCCGGGCTCCTCATCCCTCGCAAAGCTGCACGGATCGCGCAGTGGGGCCGTGCGCGCCCGAGGGGCTGTCCGCGCCTTCCGCCGTCAGTCCCCGCGGGGGTCAGCGTCGTGGGGAGGCGGCCGGATCCCGGGGAAGGTTGCGACTATGACCTGCTGCTGCTTTTTTTTTTTTCTCCTTTTTTTTTTTTAAATTTTATCATTATTTCCCTCTTTCCTCCCTCTCTCCCCCTTTTCCCTTTCCGGTGCTTTGTTTCGCTTTTCGCTTTCGGCAAGTTCCCCTCGTCTGCCGGGCTCCCCCCCGGCGGCCTCCCCGCTGCCGTCAGGGGCGAGGAGTGGCAGTGGACCACGGGTTGCCGCGCTACTTGCGCGCCCAGTGGCTGCCCCAGCCCGAGCTGCGCCCCGCGGGCTGAGGGAGCAAGGGGGGAACGGGGGACCGGCTTTTCCATCGAGCGCTTCCTAGCTGCCGGGAAGCGGAGAGAGATGGGGAGGGATGAGGGCAACGGGGTTTTTCCCTCTCTGTTTTAGGGGGGCTGGATTTGCCCCTGTGTTGGGGAGCAGAAGGGCGGACCCCCACACACGTGTGCTGCAGTCGTAGGGGGAGCCGCGGAGATGGGAGCGCGCTGGGGGCGAGGGGGAGAGAAGTCGGGTGTCCGGAGGAGGGGGTGTCAGTTCACCGTGCTGAAGAGCACCCTGCCACCGCGGGACTGCGGGAGGGGGAGGGAAGCAGAGCTATGAAATGTCTATCCACCCGTGTTTGCTTAGGGAGGTAGGACGGGGGTGGGGGGCAGACGGCGGCGCCGAAGGCTGGCGAAAGTTTCCCCGTTGGCGACTGCTCAGCTCCCCAGAGCCTCTCCGTGTCCCTGTGCCTGCGTGTGCCCGTGAACCCTTCGCCACCAGCGTGTGCGACAATCCACGCGAGCCCTTTACACGCGGGGGCTGCATGAGAGAGGCACAAGCAGCGTGTCGTGGCGGGATCCTCCCTCAGCCATACGTTACTACCACGTCTATCGTTTGCCTTTATTATTTATGTGGTGCCGTGTGATATACATTAGAGCCTGGGATTTGATTGGCGTTTGCGATGACAAGACCTGTTTGTTAAGTTGTAAGGCTTCCTCGGCTCCCTCATTTGTTAAATGAACTCTGGAGGAAGGATGACACCGAGACACAACAATATAATAAATGTCAGAGATATCCGCAGTGCCGAGATCAAATGATCAATCCTTGTCCCCTAGATAATCATTTTAAATTTGCACAGGGGAAGATTGATTCCCCCCCCCCCTTTTTTTTTAAGCCCTTTATTAATTGCTTCCCCTATTATTATTTACACACACACACACCACCACCACCCTTCCTCCTGTGGAGGTGTTAACACGGGTGCTGCGGGCACCTTTGGATTAATTAAACGTATTTTTAGTGTTTTAATGTTCTGCTAATTTTCGGAGCAGTCCCACACTCCCCCGGAACAGAAACAATGGCCCCTTGCTCCGACGAGGTTGCGACTCAGAGCAGAGGGTGGCGTGATGTTGATGGGCTCTGGTTATCCCCAGCTCGAGGTGGGAGAGGGAACGGGAAGGACGCAAAAAGCCAAACAACCAGAAGAAAAAATTCCACCAAATACCAAATAACCCTCCTCGTTAAAGCTCGATGAGAGGACGCAGAAATAACTAAATAGGTGGGAAGTCGGTTCTGCGGGAGGATGAGGTGGCGCGCGGTGGCACTGGAAATGCCGCCGCTGTTATCCGGGGCTGAATTTCAGGCAGCTATTCCGGCGCACGGGATTAATAATCATTACTAGAGCACAACAAAAATAACGGCAGCGTACCAAGAACAAGGTGGGGAAATTATTGCCATTCCTATCCTAAACCCGGCAGGATAAGTTTTGCTAGGGAGGAGAGAGAAAAGAAAAAAAAAAAAGAAAAAAAAAGAAAAAGGTGGATTTAATGCTCTATTTGTCGCGCACAAACTCTCGTGTTAACAAGTCATCCCTCTGCTGCACGCGGCAGGACAGCTCTACCGCCAAAGAAACGTTTTAGGTTTTAATTTTCCCCAGCAGTACCTTCAGACAACATAATAACATTAAACAAGAAAACAGAACCTACAACATTTACGCGTATCTAGAGAGCCCCCCTAGCCATGGATCCCCTCTTCCCTCACCCCAGGCAAGCAACCCCCTCCAAATCCTCCGAACACACCGACACCGAGCTCCGAGACACCCCATAACTTGTTTAACTGCACATGTTCCCCCACTCCCACGCACCCCCACCCGCCACAACAGGCAACACTTTTAAAACAGCATTTTCGGTTCGCCGATTTTTTTGATCATTGAATTAAGCGAAATTAGCCAAATAGCAAACCGGGTTGAATTCCCAATGACTACAACAAATGCACATCTCCGGCTTTTTATTCATTACCTTTTCTTTATTGTACACTCATTTTCTTTTCCTCTTGACAGCGATACATTTAATTGCAGGAGCATAGTTATGTGATTAGCTGTGGGTCCGTTTTTACCCTCAGTGTTGCCACGCACAGGATGTCCTTATAATCAATTAAGTCTTCCTCGACTTTCATTTCTGCAACGCGCTTACAGAATGCAGATACCTATTTTCATGTTTTCCTCTTCCCCCATCCCTCCCTTTTATTCCTCTCTCTCTCTCACTCCCCTCTCTCTCTCTCCCCCTCTTTTTCGCCGTTGCTTCTTTACTTCCCTAAATCAAGGTGCAAAGATGCCAAAGAGTGATGAAATGAAAAGAAAGCCAATTGCTGGACTGAGGTGGGGGAGATAGCTGCTCGGAGTCCGCCTGCAACTATGGAGCAGTCAGTAATTGCTGGAGACAGGGAGAGCTGGGGGCTGGGCTGAGGTAGCCATGTATAAATAGTGTGATCTCAAATTGAAAGGCATAAATAACAGCAGGAGTGATCTAACCCTATACAGCCCATCCTCTACGTGCAAAAACAGCGTGCGGAGGACGGCCACATCTCCGACTGCAAACAAGTGGATCTCTGTGGATAAGATCACCGGGCAGCCATGGAAGAACTTACGGCTTTTGTATCCAAATCTTTTGACCAGAAAAGCAAAGAGAGCAGCAGCGGCAGTGGCAGCAGCAACAAGAAGGAGACGATCACTTACAGGGAAGTTTTGGAGAGTGGGTTGGCTCGCTCTAGGGAGCTTGGAAACTCTGACTCTAACCTGCAGGACATGACCGAGAGCAGCAACCATTGCCCGGTGCATCTTTTCAAAGACCACGTAGAGAGCGACAAGGACAAACTGAAGGAGTTCAGCACAGGCAGGACGGCGGAAGGTAAGAGCGGGGCAGGGTTCCCTCGGCCCCGCGACCCTCACCGGCAGCCCCGGCCCCCTCCTCGGCCGCCCCCGGTTCTCCGCAGCAGGACTGAGCCGACACCAGCCCCGGTCCCGGTCCCTGCGGGGGGAGCGGGCTCGCCTCCCGCATCATGCCTCCCTCCTCTGGCCGCCTCCCTCCCGCAGCGGCGGGAACATAGGCTAAGAAACACAGATGCCTGCACCATAACACGAACATAGCCGTGAAAAATAACTCGCAACTTCTGTCCTTTCCCCCCCCCTCCCCATCCCCCTTTCTCCTCGGGCCGGCCCCAGTTCACATCCGAAATCGATCCCGTGCGTTAGGCATTCGCTCGCCCCGGGGAAGGGGGCAGCGCAAGACGTCAGACATTTTTGTCTGCCTGTGTATTTTTGTACGAAGAAACCTTGTCCGGGCAGTTTTAATGCCATAAGAGACCTGCTCTTCCTGTTTCCGGGCCGTCAGGATGCTGCTGCTGCTTCTTCTGGGAGAAAGCTGGATGTGGAAAGGACTCTCCCTGGACATTTTGTCTTGTTTTGGTCAGCTTGTCCTAGTCAGAGGAAGGAGCTGCCCGGGCCCGGTGAGACAGAACATCCTCGCGGGGAGAGGTACCGGCCGGCCCTGTAGCCTGGTCCCTCGGTCCCCTCCTGCCCTTCTCACCTGGGCCCGGGCAGCACCGCATCTCTCTGGCCTGCCCGGGTCCCTAGAGCTAAAATGCCATTCCTTCCTTTAGAGCAAAGAAATTAAATTAAAAAAACCCACAATTTTTAAACCAAGCCAGCTAAAAATCCCGCATAGGCTCGCAGGGGAAGGAGAGAATAAAAAGGGCGGGGGGATTAGAAAGTTGAGAAAGTGTTTCTAGGCAAGTTAGACAGGCGGACCTGCCTGGGGAGCTACTGGCTAGCACGGGGTAATAAAAACCGGTTAATAGGTTAGGGAACAACAACCAGTCTTTCAGCTGTTTCCTACTGTTTGATCTTGTTTAATATAACATTGGGGGAAAGGCAATTTAATTTACAGCCCAAACGCTTATTTAATATCCTCCTCTCTTCCATCCACCCTCCCCAAACAGAAGGACGGGTCATAATCCCATATTCGGGTATCCATACTTCTGCGCAAACCAGCACCGCTCAGCGCGGCTGATTTTTCTTCTCTAGTTGAGATTACGAAACGAGAGGGTTCAGTTTAGAGGAATCATCATTCGCACAGGAGGTGGTTTAAAAAATAATAATTAAAAAAAAGCAGGAAAATAAAAGTATATTAAAAAATATAACGCCAACGAAAGAAAAGCCACCCATCTTTGCTACTCTCCCTTTTCCCTGTGTATCGAAATTCTGGTTGTATATTTAGCTCATCTAATCTATGGAGAGGGGCTGGGGGTGGGGATGGAAGGGAGGAGTTGGAAGGAACTGAGATGCTTGTGACAGTTTAAATTCATGCCAGGTTTCAGTCTAATTCCAACTGATTCCGGCGTGTGATTTCAGTCACACCGATGTGCTAGTTAATATTTCATGCCTATCGCGGACATGCTGTAGCCTCGGATCTCCGAAAGGAGACAGAGCTTTTGAACGCGCCTTGTTTTCCCTAGGCATTTTCTGGGTGAGAACCCTCGTCTTTTCATAGGGGTTCCTCTTCCCAGAGAAATGTGAACAAAACGCCGTTAAACCCAAGCGGCGAACACCCCGCTCTGGAGGCTAGACCTTTACCAAAGTTTTCTGCAGCCGATATCCAGCCGGGAGGAACGGTTATACGGCCAGGGACAGTTTTCTTTTGGGAAGTGAAAACGAGCTCTTCGGCTTGGGTCCCCGACTTACTTAAGCACTGATGCGGTTCCGGACGTCTGCAGTTAGTCATTTGGGTTTTGGGATGCCCCCAAGTACATAGGTTAATATGTATGTGCATGCGCACAGTCGTGTGTATGTATACACACATATATACATACATATAACACGTGTATTTGGTGACGGAAAAAGGATTTAACTCGGAATTATCTGCAGATGTGGCTTCCGCCCCCTTCCCCTCAGCCCCACACGGCCCAGAATGTGAAGCAGGACAAAGGTGGCAGCCGGAGCAGGCTGGTCCCCGGACTCCGCCGGTGCCCGCGCTGGATGCGCTCCCCGGGATGTGCAGGGGATCCCGAGGAACCGGTTCAAGCTCCAGAGGTGCCGCTTGCTCCAGCACCGACCCTCTTTCGTTAGCCGGATTTAAAAGAGGGCCGGTGAATTAGGCCGCCTGGAATTGAGGCAAAGAGTGCGTGTGGGGGAAGTAAGGAAGAAAGGTAATTTGCCAAAGCAAAATAAATCCCCTTCCAAGAAAAAAAAAAAAAAGAAGCAACTTTTTCTCCCTTGCCTCCCCAGCCCTCCTTCCCTCTGCCCAGGAGGAGCTCGCTCCGAGCCTTCTTGGGCTCCATGAGAGCTGGGATGGGGAGTGGAATCTGCTGTTTTGGAGGGGCTGGGAGTCACCCGTGGTCCTTGAGCTGGCTCTCCCCCGCCTGCCCGTCCAGGCCCGTAGCCCCGTGGGTTTCGACCTGCCGGCAAGTATTTGAGGGAAGAAGCAATGATAAGAGGGAGAAGGACTGACGGTCTCTGTCTCATGCCCATGGAAAGTTTCTTTTACGAGGCAAATATTTTCACCGTGCCTTCACTATGACAGTGGTGGGGAGCTTCTTGCATAACCCTCTCTATATTACTTTGAGAGAAAACGGCGACGGAGAACGCCCTGTCCCTCTTCTTTTCCCACGGCCTGGAAGTACCAGGGAACCGGAGGTTTTCCTACTAGCCGCTTCCCCGAGCTGCCCGTGCCAGCCGGCGGCACGGCTATCTCCTCGCCCTGTAAGGAAAATACAATTAATTATATCGATATATATAGTTTTGCTGATGGGACATCAGCCAGGCAAGGCAGAGCTGCTCCTTCCTTCCCTCCCTTCCTCTCTCTCTTCGGCCGGCAGCCGAGGTGCCCCTGCCCCTCGCGGACCTGACAGCGGGGCTCAGCCCCGCCCGGTACCCCCGGGCCCAGCTCGCCCCTCCGGCCTGCCGAGCCTAGCCAGGCCCGGGGATCCCCCGTCCCGCTTCCACAGGTTGGGTTGAGTTTGGGGAAGGAGAGAAGGGAGGGAGCGGCCCCCCGTGTGCTGTGGAGAGAAACTTCAGAGAGATGAGAGGGGAAGCTCAGTGTCGTTTTTTCCTTCCCCCTCCCGGTAGGGATCTACGAGTGCAAAGAGAAGAGGGAAGATGTAAAATCAGAAGACGAAGATGGACAGACCAAGCTCAAACAAAGGAGGAGCAGAACCAATTTCACACTAGAGCAGCTGAATGAGTTGGAAAGACTTTTTGATGAGACTCACTATCCGGATGCCTTCATGAGGGAGGAACTAAGCCAGAGGCTGGGACTGTCTGAAGCTAGGGTTCAGGTAAGAGAAAGGCTCTGTTCCTGGAAACGTCCTCATCTCACTTCCTAACTGCCAGCGGATCCTAGCACAGTGCCCCGCTTCATCCAGAGCGGGGAGGTGAAGGCAGAGACGACACGTGTGATGGGGGAAGCTGTTTGCAACTCCGCCGTACCTGTCCTGCCAAAGAGTAATTCTGCTCTGGAAATATCTGTCCGTGCCTTCCGTTTCCTAGGAAGGCGGTTTAATTTCTTTTTTTTTTTTTCCTAATATATTTTGGGGTGGTGATGGTGGGGTGGTGATAGCGTTGACAAGCCTCTAATAACTGAGCAACTAGCTATTTTTTTACAATTATTATACTTTGCCTTGCAAACGTGCCATTAACTCCCCCTTAATCCTCACTTTCTTCCCTCTCTTTCTTTCCTGGGGCCGTTGAGAAAAAAAAAAAAAAAAGCTCCCAGGAAACAATCGCTGTGAATAAGACTAGACTGTTTGGGTGCAGAAGGACGGGATTAGCCAGAGCAGGGGGAAAGGTGCCCTCTCTGATTCGCACACAGGCATACGAATGCATGGCACCCCATCTGCTGGTGTCTCCCCTCGGCCCTCCCTGTCTGCTTCAGATACAGCTAAACACCAATTAGCCTTGGAAACCTTGAAAGAATGGTCCGGGTTGCTGCAGTTCTGGGGCCATTAGATGGGGTCTGTTTGGGTGTCTCCACATTGATTATTTTAAGATTACATTTTTAGTTTGATGTAGGGGAAAAATACCAGTCCCTTCCTCCCTTAAGCCATCTAGGGAATGCCTTCCCAAAGAGATATATGTATATATATAAAAAAATATATAAATGCAATTAATAAGATCAACCTGTGGCTCTCTGAGCAGGCCCAGAGCAGGAGAAACCTGAAGGAAATCCGGCCTTGGGTTATAACCCTGTGTTTGGCCTAACAGACCCTAAACCAAACCAAACTCCAAGAAGAAAAAGCCACCAAGACAACCCTTCCACTGAACAAACCGCCTTCACACCCCCGAGATAGAGGTGCACATGCAGGTGTGTAGTATCTATGCATGTGCTTGTGTGGGTATGTGTGCACAGGTGGAGGAGGTCTCCGTGCTCACCTTCATCGCCAGGGCACAGTGAGAGGAGAAACCCAGCCCCGAGCTACCGTGGGGAGAGAGGCTGGCTTGTGTGTTGTTCCCCCTCCCCCCCCCCCTCCCCCCAAAGCATGATCCCCCCCAGGAGGAGTAGGCAGGCAGGGCTCGCTCCTCGGCAGCCCTTGCCGGAGTAAAGCACTACCTCTCTTCAAACAGCTGCCTCCTGGAGGCATTTCCTGAAATAAATAGAGTAGCTAGGTTGTTTTCCTTCTTGTTTTGGTTTATTTATTTTTATTTTAAAGGCTCTTTTCTCCCTTCAGTTCTTGCCTTTTTCAGTATAAAGTGAGCAGGGCTAGGGATGGTGCCGAGCACATGCCTTAGGAAGAGTGGCTTGCGGGGGATATTGCAGGGGTTCAGTGTGCTGCTGGTCCTACTTGCTCCTGGAAGATTGATCTAACCACAGCATATAAATTAATGAAAAGATTAAACTTTTGCTGAAGGGGACATCAACTCTTATGTCATCTTCCCAGATCTTCTTACTTGGGCTCTGTAATATCTTTCCAAGGCCTTGATGTACTGTTTCTATAAAAATAAATTACTTGTAATTGAATTCTGCACTCTTTCTTTCAAGTACTTTATTACTGAGCAGCACCTTAACAGGATGTTCATAGTTACAGGAAAATTGGTGCTTCAAGTGCTTGCAGATCTTAAAACAGCACACCAAGAAAAAAAAAAAGGGAAAAAAAGGGGAAAAGGGAAAATGGATAATTAATTGGCAAATAAGCAGAGAGTTTGATACCCATCAATACATGGAAGCAGAGAAAAGAAGTGAGGAAAAGGGAAAGTTGTTTTTTTTTAATACTTTCAGAATTGTTCTCTAATTCCTATTTGAACCGCTTGTCCCTTGCTGTTAAAGGATATAGTTTCAATTTAGTGTGGAAATTTGCTGTAAATAAATTGAAGCTCCTATGGTAGCTAGTCCTTATTAACCTTTTATTTTTGGTGTTGTACTGGAAACTCATATCACCCAGCTGTCAGGGTTATAATTGAAAGTTATGAGACCATAGTGAGGAGCAGGCAGTAATTCAATTACAACAAATATCTTTGGGTTTATGGTGCAGGGCTAAATTAAATGTCATTATTCACTGTCTCTAATGGAAATCAAAAGGAAATCAGATTAGAGCATTTGTGAAAGAAATCACTGAGTGATCCTTAATGAAGAAATAACTGTCTAAAACAGTGTACTGTGCTTTACTTAGCATATTCATGACTAATTGGAATTGATCGTGAATCACACCAAGACTGATTTATTATCGCTTAACGCAGTGGCTAATTCATCACTTTTATTCCTCATAATCTTATTTTTTCATAGCTAAAGGGAAAGGGCACTTCGTTTCCCAGATTTAAATATAATTTCTATTTGAAAGATGTTCTGATTTGCAAGAGAAGTTGTTTAAAGGCTGCTTAAATTCCTTCTGACAATTTACACTACTTTGGCGGGGGGGGGGGAGGCGTGGGGAAAACACACAAGGAGATTTCCTGCAAGCTTTTGCAATCAAAAAAAAAAAAAAAAAAAAGTACTATTGTCTCTGAAGCTAGATGATATTTTGCCTGCCAATATTTTAAAATATATATATATAAATCCCTAACGGCCCAGTTAAAAGGAGAAGAGCTCTATGTTGTTAATACTGGGATATTGCTCGTAGGGAAAAATAGGCTGTGCCGAGCTGGGTGTTTCAGGGCAGAGAGGCGACAGCGGTGATGCGCTGGTCGCAAGCCGGCAGGGAACGGGACCGGGACTGGTCTATTTGTCGGTCTGTCGGCTTCGCTCTCTTCCCTAGCCACCCCAGGCAAGCAAAATGGTGCTCCAAACCCGAGAAGGCCAATTCCTACTTAAGAAAATCACTGATGTACCCGAGGTAATTAATGCCTTTGGAAGCCTTTCTTTGCACTAATTACTCCGTTGTAAATGACCATCATTAAGGCAACTGAAGAAAGCTTGAAGGGAAAATTTGATATAGGAAGTGCAGTTAGTATTAATTAACCGTATGAGCTCTTGGCAAGTGCAACAACATCAAAGGTTGTAGGTGTTTGCTCAGCTACAAGATTTTATCAGCGGTGAAAGTCAATGTTTGTCCATATTCGGTAGATTTTGGTGTAAGGATAAGGGCCCGAAAAACATTTTGGTCAGTGCCTCTGACAATCGTTTGGGGAGAGCCGCGAAACCGAGCACGTCGGAAGGGGACGAGTAAGAAGGGTCTGGAATACCCTTGGAAAAGAGGCAGCCGAGGCGCAGCGGTCTGCTTTATGCTTGTTGCAGTAGGAACGGCTGGAGCTGGGGCAGGATAAGGATTGTTGGATTGCAGGCAGTTCCCGCTAATAAGCGCTTCTTTACTCCCAGCCTGCAAAGATGGTGCTCTTGTCTGTACAGGATGCTGCAGAAGAGGAGTTTGCTTTCTTTTAACGTTTGGGAAGCGAGGAATGATTTAGACCTTTCTGCTCAAATTCGGTATCTAGCATCTTCTCGGAGAGCTTCACCATTCATGTCCAAGTCCAGCTTGGGGGAGGGCAGACGGTCCGGTCCCTTAGGACCAGACCCGGAGCTCGACCTGGCCCCCGGCGGTCTGTACCCGGGATGTCCGAGGTGTCACTGGAAAGGGACCGAGGGTCCCACTCAGCCTGCGGGTGGGATTATTTTGGGTGTTTGTGGGGGAGGCCCCTCGCTCCGGGCGGGTGGCACAAACAAGGACTTCCACTGGCCGCCCGGGAGGGAAAAGGGGGCACAGAGGTCTCGGTGCGAAGCGACCGGCTCCCTGTGCCCCGGGTGCGAGGGCAATCCTCACTTCCTAGGTTCAACTCCTGCTGAGAAACCGCAATAGAGAACAGGACCCTTCCCCCCTCCCCCGAAAAAAAAGACAGCCCCACCGCAGCACATAGATGGGTACATCCCTCTGGGCTGAGCTCCGAAGAGAGACCTCAGCAAAGTTGTGGGGAGCCCCTCGCCGCCTCTTCCTCTCCCCCTGAGAGAGCCCTCTCTCAGCAGCTGCCTAGCCTGCCTCCATATATTTCTGTCGTTTTGTTTTTGTTTGCGTTTTCTTTTCACAGGTCTGGTTCCAGAATAGGAGAGCAAAGTGTCGAAAGCAGGAAAACCAGATGCACAAAGGTGGGTCGGGGCAGCGGGCCGCAGGGAGGGGATGGCCAAGGAGCCGCGGGCGCCTTCGCCACTCATCCGTCCCCGTCTCTCTCCGCAGGTGTGATCTTGGGAACCGCCAGCCATCTAGACGCCTGCAGAGTGGCCCCCTACGTGAATATGGGAGCCCTAAGGATGCCTTTCCAACAGGTAGTGAGCTCCGGGTTTATTTTCTTTCCCCCGGCAAGCTCCGACCCTCTATCCTTTGCACGGGAGGAAGCCGGACACGTTTACAAGTGCCATTTATATACAAGTTGGCACGTATTAAACTCGGGCTATAAAGCTTCGTGAAGGAGCGCTCGCCCGCCCGCCTGTCGGGAGCTCAGCGTCCCTCAGGCCCGGCGACCGGGACGAGCGGGGGAGGGGGGGCACGGCCCTGGGAGGCGCCGCCGGTGCTAAGCCCTCCTCTCCCTCTGCCGCCTGCCGTGGGCTGGCACTCAGCCTTGGGGCCTCCCGCCCTCGTGTCAGAGCCCAGCTGGCCTCCCGGGGTAGGGGAGCACCGGGGGACCCCGTGGGGACGGACTGGCCTGGTCCTGAACCGTCCAGGGTGGGCTTCGGCGCCAGAGCAGGGTGTGGGAGGAAAGTCTCCCACTCGAGGGGCGAAGAGAATAAACCGTGCAGACCCTTGCGTTGCCGCTCTCCCCCTCCTTCTCCTGCGGGCTGCCGAAGCCTCTCCCGACGGCAGCGGCGCCGCTACGGGGCCCGGGCCCCCCTGAGGGAGGCCGCCTGGGAAAAACCGGACGAGGGGGTGAAATTCTGTCCCGCTTCCAGCCATCGCTTGTATCCCTCCCTCTTCTTCTTCTTCTTTTTTTTTTTTTGTCAATTAATCGAGGAATCGATTTTCCCAGCCCAAAGGGACCCTCCACCACCTTCTCGGTTTCAAAGACACGTGGAGCTGACAGATTAATTGTATTGATTTTTTTTTAAGACATATTTGGACCAAAATAATTAAATACATAAATAAATTCCCCCCCCCCCCCCCCCTTTCCCCCCACAACTCCTTCCTGAACCTGCCCGGAGCTGAAATCTCTCAGTCAACCCCACGTGTTCGTGTAGGTCGAGCAAGCTCTAAAGCAAACACCACCCCGCTGTACAGGGGACCCGTGGCCAAAGAGTTTTTAGCAAAGTATAAACAAACATCCCTGAAAAAAAAATATTAATATATTTATATACATATATATTTATATACATATATATTAGCTATTTCGCTTTTATAGATATATAAATTAGGTATTATATATATTGGCTATTTAGCATATATATATATAAATAAATATATATATAAAAAAACCTTAGCTATTTAGCACTTGTTGGCGGCAGTGCGTTGGGCCGTATTTAACATATATATGTTAAGTTTATTTTACTTTGCACACGCACGCAGGATTAGGTGCGTCTCCGCGCCCCGCGTTCAGAGGTTTGCGGGGGTCTGCACCGACCGGTGGCTCCGGGGAGGGCCGTGGCACGGCGTGTGTGTGTCGGTGCTGCCCGATGTTGACGCCGTGTCTCTGCCGCCACTCCCCGTCCCCCTTCCTCCCCCCCTCCCCACGCAGGTCCAGGCCCAGCTGCAGCTGGAGGGCGTGGCCCACGCGCACCCGCACCTGCACCCGCATCTGGCGGCCCACGCTCCCTACCTGATGTTCCCGCCGCCGCCGTTCGGGCTGCCCATCGCCTCGCTGGCGGAGTCCGCTTCCGCCGCTGCCGTGGTGGCCGCCGCCGCCAAGAGCAACAGCAAGAACTCCAGCATCGCTGACCTGCGGCTGAAGGCCCGGAAGCACGCCGAGGCCCTGGGGCTCTGACACGCTTCACACCAGACCCCCCCTACGCCATACCACACCATATCCCCACCTCACCCCGGGGCGGGCGGGCGTGTGTGTGACCCGTACGGACCTCCGGTCTGACCCCGCTCATCCTCCTCTTCCTCCTCCCCGGGCCGCCCTGCCACCTTCTTGTTATTATTTTGTTTGTTTTTATTCCTTTCCCCTTTCCCAAGGTCTGCGAGCGCTCGGCGGCAGCCACCCCTCATCTCACACCTTTCCCCCCGCACCCTTCCCCCGCTTTCCTCGCCCTCTTCCCGCTCCCCAGCCCCAACGGGGACTTGTCGGCCCGGGGCGAACCGGGCGAAGAAGGGAGGCCCCGGCGGCCGTTGACGCTCAGCGCGCGCGCGCGTGTGGCGGCGCGGTTGGGGACTCGCACCCACGAGTCAGAGACTCCGCCGAGGATAAAGTAGGTGTGAGGAGAGAAAAGAGAGAGAAAAGAGAGTTAAAAAATCACCCCAAAAGGGAAAAATACTGCAAAAACAAACCACAAACCCCCCAAAAGGAAAGAAAACGATATCTAAATTATGTTAATCTGTGAACACTGGGGACACTTTGGAATTCCTTTTGACCCTGGCAAAAGTGATCGCTCCAGCATAAACGTCACCTGCTGCTGTCAGTTTTGCTACTACCTTGTGCATGTGTCAAACGAAACACGTTTTGAAGATCAGAAATATATTAGAACTAAGCTAAACAACAGAAAAAAAAACCAAACCAACAAATAGTAATAATAATAAATAATAAATCCTTGGGGCTGGTCTCCATTAAAGATGACATTTCTTTGTTGCCAACAGTATTATTTCACTGCCATGAATCTCTTCCATCACTGAGGAGCTGCTGCAGCAGAACTGGTTTGAATTTAAATGTGGAATTTCAGATCTGAGGCAAGGCAGGTTTTTTTTTTTGGTTTTACGTTTTTCTTTTCTTTCCTTTAAAAAAAAAAAAAGGAAAAGCAGCAATAACAAAAAAAAATGTGCGTCTCAAATGGCCATGTCCTTTGAAAGGAGGAAAAGAATTTGCTAATTATTAGTGGTCACTTGAAAGATGGGAACAATAAGAAATGCACCTGTTTTGCCAGAATCATCTGAACTCGATGAGCTGCGTTGTGCCATAGAAACAGGTCAAGTTATTTTCATTTTTTTCTTTTCCAAAATGTCTGGATCTTTCGATCAAAATCTCTCTGTTTTTACAGGACGTAGAAAGAATGACTTATACAACAAAGACGGACATATGGTTTTAAGGCATAATACTGATGCAGCGTTAATTTTAGTGAAATGCAATTAAGTGCAGTAAAGTGCAATACTGTAAATATTATAGATTAAAAAAAATAAATAGCCGTACTTATTCTGTTAAAAACCAATTCTGCAAGAACCATGAATTAAGTCCTTTATGCTCAGACTGGTGCTTTGCAGCTCCTTGCCAAAACGACGGCCCAAGTCTTCTATGAATGGATAAAGTTACATGTATCGCATATGGGAAGAGGTAGATGCCATGATTTCTAGTCGAGTTAAATGTGCCATATTTTTGGGAAGTAAACTGAAGAGTCTGCATGACACTTTCACAATTAGTTTAAGTCAAAGAATCCAAACCAAAACTAAAGAAACAACCTGCAAAAGTGTTTTGTAGAGGTGGACAAGTTCAATATTTGGGCATTTTAATTTTTGCCTGTGGTTTAGACCCCAAGTCTTAAGCTAATGCTTAAGCAAAGTAACTACCATAAATCCAGAAAACATGGGGAGTAGGGAAATCCTTTAAATTACATTACCAAAGTGTCTGGGTTTACTGACCCCCCATGTTTTACTTTTCATGGTATTCACTTCAAATTAGTTCATTATATGTTTTCTGTCTTAATTTTTGGTGGGAAGAAGGAAGTGCAAATATTGGTCTTGTCTACATCTAACAAGGATAGCTACTTGTTGCTTTTGTTACCAAGGCCTGTGCTGATGGAAGGTTATCCTCTCAATAATACTGCTGTTAAGCCTGCTTTTTATGTCTCATTTAGCAATCCATTACTAGTTTTGGCTTTTGCTGATATTTATCAAATCCAAATATTACTGTAGGACAAAAATCCATGCTGTAGAAAAATTTTAGACACTTGTCTTCTTTTGTTATTTCTCCTTCAAGTTTTATTATTTTCCAGCAAGCATAACTTCTGGAATGTCAAAGTTGTGCCATTTCCCTTTTATTTATTATGTGAGGAGTATTTATATTTTGGATTTGCTAGAGCTGATAAATGTTACCTGCCTTTTCTACCTCTCTGTGAAAGCCCAGTACGTTTTAAAAGCACGGCCAAAACATTAAGGTAGCATTACTCATTGCTGAGGAATACAGACAAAGATCTCAGGCAATTAACAATTTCTCATTGAGACAAAATACTACCTAGAAAGTAAAACATTATTCATGGTGATGTATGAATTTCTGGCTAAAATAAGAAACATTTGGAGTGGCTCCAGCACTTGTAACATATGGATCTGAAAAATAATAAACATTACTACAGAGATGCTTTAGGCTGTAGCAAGTAACCTGTTGTACTGGATACTGACAGCCATCAAAGGAGAATTCGATACACATTGTTGAGGACTGGAGGCATAAAACTGTTGCCTGAGTGGAGAGTGCTTGTTACCTGTACCTCTGATGTAATTGTTATCCTTTCAAACCGTCTTTTGAGAATTTAAGAGAGGCTTATGTGATTTTTTTTTTTTTTTTTTCCCAGTCCTGTGCTGGACTTTCACAAAGGAGTAATTTTTACCTTCAAACAATTCCACAGAATGAGCTTGTTGGAGCTGTGGGTTTAGGATCTGAATTTTCTTAGACGTCTTCTAAGGGAGGCTGTGAAGTGCTACCGATCTTACAGTTGTGTTACAGGATGCACGTACAGTATGCATCTGCCTCAAATTGGAAGGAATAACTTTTCCACCTTTGCTGTTTTACTAGGTACCAACACAGCAAAAGTGCTTGTAGGTTTCTCTCAGATATTTTGCTACGTACAGTTTCTTTCTTGTATTCAAAAGCCAGTGGTAACTTAAACACAGTTCCCTGCTAACATGAAACAAGGCTGGTAGTGTAACATACATCTTTTCAGAATGAAAAATTCTTACAGTTTCTTCTGATTGCTTTCAATGGATGTCTCAAGGACCATCTTGCCCTCTACTGCAGAAGGGAAGAAGGTGGCAAGGTTTGTCAGTTTAGCCTATTTTGAGAGAAGGACCATAGATCAGCCTGGGGAAAGGGGCAGGGTGTTGCTGTGAATCTACCAAGTCACTTCATGATGCTCTTGCATTCCATTTAGCATGAAAGGAAACAGTGCACTGTGCAAGGGTTGTAGCTGAAACTGGTTCTGCTTTGCTTATTTCTCAATGGGCTAATTGCATCAGTGGTGGTATAAAAGCTTTGCCTTGTTTTGGATGATGCACTCAGGTGGCCTCCTTGTCATCCTTAACATCTCTTGAAAGAAACGAGGAGTCCTACCTGGGCTACCATGAACTGTATGTGTCCCTAAGTGTAAGTCCCTGTGGCTCCATTCACCGTGTGGAGCACCAGGGACCCATTCAAGTTGAGAATCTGGACCAAAGCATCTGCTGCGTTTCTGTTAATGTGTGGTCTTTTTTTTTTTGTTTTGTTTTGTTTGCATTTACTTCATTATTTTTCTTGAGGGAGTTGGAGGTTGAAGATAAGGTAGTCAAGGTCCTAAGATACTTATTAAATCTTAAAAGTATTGTAATTGTGTTAGATTCTCAGGCATGACAAAACTCTTTTTTTTTTTTTTTTGTACACCATCATACAGCCTGATGCAATCTTTCATTTGAGAAGTGTGAGATTTCCAAGATCACCAGAGCAGTGGCCACTGGGAAAAATTCCCTTGGAGGAGGCCTTCAGTTAGTGTATGTGGATTGCTAAAGAATCTTCCTCAAAAGTATGGTTTGGTATTTGAAAAATAACTTGAATGAATGACAATTGAATAATGCTGTTTATAAACAAGTCCATAAAAAAAAAAAAAAAGGCTTTATGCATGACATGGGCCCCTTTATAGTGGAAAAATAGTCTCTAATTTTTTTTGAACTGTCAAATAAGCTGAAGTACTTCATCCATTTGTATCAAAATAGCAAGCTGATTCCACGGCTCATTTTTATTGACTTGGAAACGTGAAAAAAAATTGTACTGGAATTTTTTTTTTTTTTGCTTAGTAAGGTCATATAGATGTAGTGGCATTTTGGTTAATAGCATAATACTTAGCATATAATGTTTATTTGCAAAGCACTGTATTATAAATGTTTATTATTTAACCCTCACCCATTATGAAGTAGATAAGAATTATTATCCCCATTTTTGTAGAAACTAAGGCATATAAATTATGGGCCAGGTTCTATGACCCATTGTCAAAACTGAGTATTATTACTTTTGGTTTTGTAATGTAGTAGCATACCCCAGATCATAATCTGACATGAACTTGCGGTGCTAGACACCTTTCAAAATTGGAGGAGAGGCCCTGCTCCAATAAATTTAAGCTCCATACCTGGTTTCAGCAAAAGTCTTAAAGGGAGCATTAAATGTGTTTCAGAGTGGCAGAATGTGTCTGTGAGTTACTTCCACAGAACACAAAGTTACTGCCCAGTCCTCTGACCCATATGTCACTGGGAATTTGCTTTATGGCGCAGTGGGGCTGAGCTGCAGCAGTGCTAAGACTAGAACCAAAAATCTGAGTTCCCAACAGCATGCACAAATTGCTGGAAAACCCTGGTTTCCAACTTCCTCTATTATAAATTTATCACACAGCCCACATGTGCTGATGTCAATTCTTTGCATGCTCTATCTGCTATATCTTTTAGTCATGTGTTTACCTGTAAAATAAGAATAACACACGGTCTTGAATTGACATACCATTGATGCATTGTTGCCTCAAAGACAATAGACATATAGACCTATGGAAATCAGATCCCTAAGGCAAACCCAGATTATGATTTTTTTTTTCTTTTTTTTCTGACAAAACCCACACATGTTTTCTGCTCTTTTTAATGTGCTAGGCAAAAATAAATTGTTTCTCTTTTTTTTTAAACAGAAAATTTTAGGTTTTGAAGACGTTATTGCTTTGGAGGTGGCAGGCTTTTCCCCTCTTCATTTTGAGGAAAATTTTCAAAGTATAGGAAAAAGATTACACATCTGTCTTAGAAATGTGTTTAGTTTTATATCTAATATCTAGTGATCCAACTGGTGTCCTTGTCATTGCTCATTCTCTACAACCCTCTAAAGTGCATGCAACCACTATGGTTGCAAATTTTTTGTGTTCCTGGTTAGAAAGGATGGTCAAAGTGCCCCACTCCTCATCTGTAAGCAGCCTACTGACCCCACTATTTTGTTTTCTTTCCCCAGTGTGACAGAATTCCCACGGCTAACAAGTTTCCAAACAGCTGTGGCTAATATGGCAAGAGCTTGCTATTGTCTACTGGTTGCAGTAAGATGTGGTAGGGCCAGAGAAGGTCTGATACTGCTTGAAAATGTATATAAAAAATAACAACCCTAAAATGCAGTGTGCTACAGAGTGTGATCTCCTCTCCTTAAGAGTAGAGCCTTCTGCTTTATGACCCATGCTTTTTGTGAAACTGCATCTCTTAATCATATCTTGAAAAGGTGCAACATGGATCCCATCAATGTAACCCAGAGGCTAATATGCTGGTTATTTTTGTTGGCCTTTCTAGTCAGGTTGGTGGAAGGCCATAGGCTTTGGTGTTTGAGGCATTCTTCAAAAGGGGATGTGATACCGGATACCCCTCAAATTTTGTTTGTCTGTTAGACAGATTTGATGCTAAAAGTTGGTTCCTAATTTTAGTAAATCAGCCTAGAAACTGTTTGATTTCTGATAAATAGTTGAAACTTGATGCAGTTCATACACCTTATGTTGAAATTTGATATTTAACTAAAATCAGTTAAATGTAGAAAATATCAGATTTTGAAGCTGAAGATATTTATTTAAAAGCAACGTTTTCATGAATCTAGGCTTATGGTATGTATTAATTACATCAAAGACAGGCAAATATCTCTGTTTCTTTGTATTAATGTATGTGGATGTTTTATTTATTTTTTTGTTTGAAAATTTCTAAAAGTGTATTTTAATTATGTTGAGTGTAAATTTGACAATGCTTTGCATTTATTTTTATTTTTTTAAAACTTGTTGCTTTTGTAAACCTATGAGCAGCCAGTATGATTTGCAGTACCATTGCATTATTTTGGTTATGTACACCTGAATTTCCAGACATTTCAGGGATTACTAAAATGAAAAAAAAAAAATCTCCAAAATCAACTCAGCTCAAAAGTTTGTACCCCTTTGATATTGTGGAAGAGAAAAACAAGCAAATAACTTTTTCTTTAGGTTTCAGTTATGCCAGCATGCTCCTACATGAATTCACTAGACATGCTGAGTTCCAGTTTCAGAGTGTACTATGTTGAATTACATGATATGAATTTACATCTTGTAAAAGTGAGATATGAATAAACTTATAAATATTTGTAATCATGTGTTAACGGATAGCCCCAATAACTACTACCAAAGGGACTATTGATAACAAGTCATTTCCCCCCCCCCCCCCGTTAAAATAGAGCTTTTTCTTCTGTATTTAATGCTTTTTCTTTTTTAAGCACCTTATATGCTTTCTCCTTGCACGGAATGAATGCAGCACATCTTACTCTGAAGCCATGCCACTTACAGATCTGTCTTTGGTTTCTGTGTAAGTTTTACAAAACAAGGTATAGCTTCTTATTAATCAGAAGCTACTTTTACATCCTATCAGTATATATATATATGTATACATATATATATATATTGTTTGTTTGGTATCCTGTTATATTTTTAAAGGATTGATATTTTTTTTGTCATGTCAGGAGAAATAAAGGAGTCCTCATAGCGGACCATTCTAGGAATTGTACTTGATGGCCCCAATCTGTTGTCTGTTCAAATCAATAGGAGAGGCACTAGATCAGGCTTTTATTTCCAGGTGATTAAGGAGTTTTTCCAACGTCCCTGTTTGTTGGTACATTAGATGTAATTGTCTCCTATAGTTTTATTCTTTCTAGTTGTAATCCAGCATTCTGATGTTGAAAAGGATACCAGGGAGTCCTCATGTTCCCGTGCACTGTGTTGTTTCATCGATAGCACCAAAGCAAACTGGGCTGGTGGAAGTCTTTCTGCTAGTTTACAGTCTGTGCAGCAGGTCCTAAACTTCTGAACTCATCACAGCTGTTAGGTTAGGCTTGTCTTGTTTGAAAGCCAGTTTGTCCAACATGTATGTAGCATTCAAACTTCATTAGCATTACAAAATGGGTAGTTCCATATCCCAGCTCTTACCCCAAGTCCTCCCAGCATGTCTTTTTTTCTTTCTCATCTGCAGCTGGCTGTCTAAGCTGTCTAAGCTGAACTCAAAACCTGTTTGTAGCTTTTCTGCCCTTGCATTTTCTGCAAGTATTTACATCTATTGGAGCTCTGACCTGGAACATAACTGGAAAGCATTTGGTAGAATATTCCCACATCAGGGTTACTGTTTCTCTCTAAACCAACACCACAAACTGACATCCTGTTTTTCCTGTCATAAGCTATGTAAGAGACAGGCTATTATAAGAAAATTAATCCTTCCTTTCTGTCTCTTAAAGATATGTGGGCAATGAATGGTTGTCAGTGTCCTGTACTGTAAGAGCAATCAGAAAAAATATAAAGTGTGTGCTGAAAGCTTAGTTTCACCAGAAGACCATCTAATAGCAATCTTTAAATAATTATGTTTTGACACTGATTTTTTGTCTATTCATATTCAGTTCAGATGTTGAAAAGAGAGATAAGTTCTTTTGGCAATTTGGTTGTTTGGAAGAGGGTTTTTTCCCCTCTTCATTTTTGTTAATTAACATGTTTTTCCAATGGCTACTTGTTCTCTTGATTTTTGAAATCATTAACAGCTCTGAGGGAGGTTTACTCTCTTTTGTCTTTGGGTATATTTTTATTCTTTTTTTGCTTGAAAATTTATTTTTAATTCCTTCAAAATTACACTTTGACCCTATTGCCATCAGCATTTTTGGCTGCAGAACTGTCTCTAGTTCTCTCTGTAGGATCTGAATTGAATTGGATAAGAATAAACACAATAATACCTTCCTCATGAATTGTCAGTAAATTTTTTATTTCTTTCCTGAGTAGCTTCTCTCTTAGACTGCTATTTTTTGAGCTGCAAACATGTGAAAAGAAAATCATAAGGTGCTACACAGGAAACAGAACTGAGTATCTGCTGGTGTGAATACCTGTGAACTGTGGAAATTTTACCAGTAATGTGTGGTTCAGTTCTATGTTGCTTGCATATCCAAAAGTTCAGTTAAAGTTGGACAGAGATCTGTATACTCAAGCCTGCAGAAGCCACCACAGAAAGACAGATTTGTGTTCAAGGACCGCATGCAAATGACTAGAGATTGGACAACAGAACAAAAGGAATTGTATATCATTTCATTTCCTCAAATCAAATACTCAGACTTCATTACCAATATGATTAAGGGTAGTGATCCTACTCTTACGTTTAATTGCAGGTTTATAATTGCTACCAAAGGGCTATAAAACTACAGGGTCAGAAAGCTGTATCCAAAAAAGGGTCTTAATGCCTCACTCTAAAGTTAGACTTCAGAGGAATTTAAGCACTTATTTCCAAAACCTTAACACAGGGCCCTTGGCCACTTCTCAAACTCTACTGAAGCCTGAGGGCTGCAGGTCCCCTAGTTCCACACATTAAATTTCTCCATGAACCTCATGTTCTACTTCTGTGTGTGCCTGGCACCTGACAGGTCTCTGTGGCTGGGTGGCTTGCTCTTAGCCTGACTGAGTTACGAAAACCAGGCATCTGTTTCATCTTCAGATGTTTCCAATCAGAAGTCTACATCACAACTTGTCAGTGGAAGTAAGGAGACACTTTTAGCAGATACATCTCTAGTGAGTATATTAAGGTTTGTCTTAGAACCAGACTAGCCCAAATGCAGCCACCTTCTCAGTAGACAGACATGTCCAATTCCATGGCAGGTATCTTCCATGTTCTTCCTTCTTGTGTCCTTCACTGCCTAAATGACAGCAGTTCCATTACTTTGTTTTCTTCAGAGGGGGGAAATTTCTGTTTACACAATGACTCAGTGACTAGTAGATTCACAAAGAACTTTACAGTCTGGGTTTCCCTGACTTCCTTTGCCTGAATAGATGGAGTAGCTGAAAAGGTAGAGCTCTTGGTCCTGGAGATATACTTTGCAGAACGTGCTAGACATGGACCTCTTGGATTGGGTTGACTGTAGCTGAATACACTTTGATAGCATAGGAGACAAATGACATTTCTGCTATGATTTCTGTTCTAACTGGTTTCCCTACTGTGTTTTCTGATATTATAGTCAACTAAAGCACAAATTGGTTTTCTACAGATTCCTGGGAAAAAGAATTATCTTAGTGTTTTCCCTAGGTGGGGCTTAATGCAATAGCATTTGAATATTTCCTAAGTATATCAGCTGTGCACCACAAAGTTCCTAGATTTCATGAAGTTTCCAATTTTCCTCTCTTCCTGGTTGCAAAAAGACTTCTTTAGAAGAGCGATATAGATGTACATATACATTTAAACACTAATAAACAAATCCCTCAAAAAATGACAGAATTTAAATTGCCACATACATAACCTTAGGGTTTTTAATGAAGCAATCTCATATGATTCCATCTCACATTATCACTTACATTCTTAACACAGGACCTCTGTTTAAGTTGCTGCGTGAGGTAAACCATGCTCGAGGAGCAAATTTGGACTGTGAAGAGAATGAAGCCATTTTCTAAGAATATTCCTCACCTGCATGAGATACCGGTAGGTGTCTGTATGTAGGCAATGAGGGGAAAACATGGCTTCATCATTAGCGCAGTAAATGATCATGTAGGAGAAGCAAATGTGGCCTGCTACTGACTTTCAAGATGATACATTGAAGGAGGTAAGGCATATCCAGGATATCACCAACTGTGTGCTTTCTGTTTTCTGGGGGTTAAAGTCAGAAGACCAGGAGTTGATGTACAGAATGCTCACTGTTGATTGTCACAAGTTTAATTGACACAAGCTATGTAGGTTTGGGACTTGGAGGAAGCAGATCACATTACACAGTGATGTAGATTCATGCAATATGCCATTGACTTACAGTCTTACATTCAGCAGGTCATTGTGTCTTTCTGCTTCAATCTATAAAATGGGTTTAATGACACTCTCCTAATGTGTACATAGGAATGTCACTCTCCTAGTGTGTACACAGAGGGACTATGACCATAAATTCATTAATCTTTATAGTACACTGATACACTAGATTTGCATGCATCAGCACAAAACCCATGAGGCAACAAGTAACTCTGTATTCAATGCAATGTTCAGAGGATGTGCAGTAAATAAAGCATGAGGATAAAGTGAAATATTGAGCAGCTGCTTTATTTACTGAACACTGTGCACTGAATAAAGTTGGGGTCTTGTGTGAAAAAAAACCCAACCAAACAACAAAACTCAATTTTATGGGCATTGAAGCCCTCTGATATTAGGGATGTTGAGGGAAAAGAGTTTAAGGGGCTCTTCTTATTAGGGATCAGTAAGAAGTAGGCTTGCAGCTCACATAACCTTTCAGTGCAGTGTGAGTCTTAATAGTAGAGGAACGCTCGCAGGTATTAACTGCAGCCAACAGTCTGTGCCTTCATCTTAGGCCAAATGATATTTTGAATTGGGAAAAACAGTCCCAGTCCCCTTTTGTTTTCATCCTATCCAGATGTATCCTATTGCACCCCATATACTGTGTTCTCCATCATCACTTTTGATCCGGTGCTGGTGTTGCTGGATATATAACTGTTCAGACTGTAGAAAGCTCAAGGCTGCAAGCAGAATCTAAGCTGCCTCAAACCAAGGGAAACAGCTGGAAGATGCAGAAGCTGGCCACATCTGAAGGAGTTTCATTAGGACATGCACAAGCTCTAACCTATCATTAAAGGGTGAGATGAAAGTTTTATCACTGGATGACGAATGAGGTCTTTCTTCAAGGACTAATTTAATTTAGTTTATATAATTTTTGCCGTCTACGAACATGTATGTGAATACTTGCGGATGAACGGAATTTTCTGTGTATCAGGGCTGTAGGCCTATTGGTCATGACAAAAATTTTGCAGGTGGTGCCAGCCATTATTAATATAGAGAGATTGCTACTGCTCCTCCTGTAGTTACTAACTTTGCTATAAAGGGAAAGCTGTAGTGTTGATAAAATTCTGAACTGCTTCTCAGTGTGGTAGAATTAGGACAGAGTCTGATTTCCTGGGCCTTTTATTTCTGGGCCTCATGTATTTTTTCTTTAGTGTTTGAGACTTGCACTCTTACAGGGACACATAGCTTTTGTTGACCAGTGGTAGGCAGAGATAAATTTCTAATATAAATAGGTGCCCATGGCTTTGGAAAGTCCCGCTTGGGGTTGTCATGGGAGCCAGGGTTTGAACCAGGATGTTGTGCTCTAGGAACCCTTCATCCTTGTTGCTAATGGATTGGATATGGAGCATTTGGAAATGTTCCATTTGGAAATAAAGCATGTCTAGGCCTTGAATGGTGTTCAATACCTTTTCTTCAAGTTCAGTGTTTTGTTCATGGAGAAGCAGAAGAAAGATTTTTTTGCCATGAATACTCTTCCTGAATAAATGATACACTAGATGATACTGTGAAGCTTGGAGTAATTTTGACGGAAAAAAAAAAAAGGCAGAAAATAAGTGAGAAGATGCTGCTGAGTTCAAATCGCTTATCTCCTTTATCTTAAATATTCAAGTTCTAGCCTTTTATCAAAACCATATATGTCTCGGGAACTGAGAAAATCAGGTTCTCAGTGCTATTACTGTGAATGTCTCTTTCTGAGCCTCATTCACTTTACCTTGGACCAAATGACTTTTGCTGTTGCAGAAAGGCATAGCTTTCCTTGGTGAGTGATAGCTTCTCTCAGATTGTTTCAACTGCTTTAATTTATCCACTTTCTTAGCTGCTTGGAGTTCCTTTATTCTTTTTATCTGGATGCTTGTTCCACATCCAGTCTTGCTTGGTAACTGTAATCTGTAGTGGTCTTTCTATTAATAGGCTAAACCCAGATTTCATAAGTGTTCACAGATTTTTGAAAAATGACAATAGAAGTACCTCACTGATAGACCAACACTGAATTTTGAAAGAGTAACAGCCGTACTGTTATCATGCACCACAACAGAGCTAGGTCACAAACCAATCTAGTCTCAGCCTGTCATGTGGATTGTAACCTGTGAAGTTTATAGGACCTAGCAAGTCATATCTTCTTGATCTTAGATCTTTATGCTTACATGAAGGAAAAGCAATGCTAGCAAGGATCTGTAAACTATTGTAGAATATCATAATGTATTGCAAATAGAGCTATGTCTTACCTTGACTCAGAAGTTGGAGTATCTTGCTGGTAGCCACCATTCTGTGCTTAACAGTGACTGCTTGTGTGTTTTCTGGTGATAATGAACAAGTTGGTTTCAGTATTGAAAGCCTTGAGTGGCTCCAGACTTATCTACATAAAACCACATCTCTCTTGATGTTTCTATTGGTCAGTAAAGAACAATTACTCTGAAAACCTTCTAGTGTACAGTGGAGGCTGTTGTAAAAATATTTCCTTCATGATCTGCTTTCTGAAGTGGTCCAAGATAATTCCAGTTGTTTGTCCCTTAAAGTATGCTGTGAGTCACATCTGTATATGTAGGCTTTTGGGGATTGATATGGCCTGCTTTTGCTCTGGGTTGATGCTTTGAGGAAAGGTTCTTCTTAAAAAGGAAAGCAAATGTTTAGAATATCCACACATTTTTTACAACACCATGAAGGCTGAGTAGTGCTTGCATACTTCAGTGTGATTCTGTTGAAGGTGCAAGATAACTGCTGATTACATCCTCTTTTTGGTGTGAGTTGCATTTGGTGTTTTGGTTTTTGGTGTGAGTTGCATTTGTTGATACCTCTGTTTTCTCCCTGACCATAGTCAGAAGTGGACTTGGATGAAACTTGTATGATGCTTTTTCTGCTCACTTGTATGTGCATTTGTGGCTTCTCTTCTTGGGTGTCATTTTATTTTGGCCTTTACCCACCTGCTTTGAGCATGTAGTGGTTGACAGAGAAGCAACCTCTGGAAATTTAGTTTCCCCCTTACTGCCGGAAGTATGTTTTCTTTGCAACAGCCTGTTTTCTTCAGGACTGTTGCATGAGACAACCTTAGCATGGGTATGGCAAGGCTGACCCACAGGGACAGTCTCCTAAGTTCCTTGAACTGAATGTTACTTTTGGAAATCATATCTGAGACATTTGAAAATGACACAAACTCTCTGTGCTGCAGGCGGACAAGGTTAAAAGAGACTTCCCAGTTCATAATATAAAATTCCACCCAGCCCTGGAAGGTTCTTTTTCAAGCCTCCAGAGATCACAGGACTACAGCCTAACAGGTATAACAAACACACTTTGGGGAACTTGCCTTTTACTTGAAGCTTTCCTTGTCCCCTACATCTTGTTAGTGAAACTCCTCCTCCTCTTGTTTTATACACTGACAGGAGTCCCAGAAAGGTCAATTGTTTAAAGATTGTATATGTACATGCCATATTGTGTTTATAAACTTTGCGAACTACCATCTCTTGTGTCACTGAAATGTCCGCGTTTTGAGGTAAGTTAGGTTTTTATCATTAATAAGATTGTTATTTAAGTGGGCTGTTGTACCTATAATACATATGACTGGAAATGGTGGCATTTGCCTTTTGCATGTGAGCATAGGAATAAATAAGTTTATCTCAGAAACTAACTGTAGCTATGGCAACAGATACATGCTGTATTTCATCTTTGGACACATAAGCAGCCATGTTAGAAAAGAAGTTATTTCAATAATGGCTTTTCAATAATTAATTGCACAAATTTTACAAGTCAAGTTAAGAAATACTGCCATAGTCGAACTAATGAGCATTAAGTTAATTTTGATACTCAACAGTGATTTTTCATGCAATTAAATACTTTTCTCAGGTTATAGTTAAAAAGCTGCCTGAGAAATATTTCCTAGAGAGCCACTAACAAAAACAAAGTTTGAAGTTTCTCAAGTGGAAATAGGATTCAAACTTTTTATAGCTGTCCTTGTTACCATTTTATATTCATAGTGTCTCTAGCAGGATAACAAATATCTCTAACTACATGTCCACAGGCAGAATGGTTTATAGCTGAATATTTATTTAACTAGTACTTAAATGCTTACCTAATTCATAAGCATTTGTGTTAGGGATATGTGGTTCCTACAGGCACATTAGTGGAGTTTCTAATTTAGATTGTTTCTTGTTAATAATTCAAAATAGTGCCATCTTTCCAAAATCTTAAGTATTGTCCTTGGCTGCTGCTTTGCTTGTACCATATCTATCTGAAACTGTAAATCCCTTCATCCTCTTGCAATATCAGCTGCTTCTGAAACTGCAGTAAGAAACATGAGAGAGCACTTTATGTCTTTGCCTATAGTAGTTATAAAGAGCCCAGGCTGCGTGCTAATGATCTCAATAATGACTGATGACTACAGAAGTTTTCGAGAAAGAAGATGTTGAAAGAAGCTAAATAGCAGAAGCAAAAGAGAAAGAAAATGCTAAATCGGACCACCAGCATTAAAACCTGACATCAGCAGCCTGGAATCTTCAGGTGAAATTCATACCTATCCAGAGGATCAGTATAGGATATACACATCAATTTACTCTTTTAAACATGTCCTGGGTTCAGCAGTAGCATTCATTTTTCTCCTTGGTAGCTGGTGCAGTGCTGTGTTTTGACTTTTGGCTCAGGAGCAGAGCTGATAACAATGATGTTTTGGTTTGGCCAAGGACTTTGTGAGCCTCATGCTCTGCCAGGGAGGAGGGGAAGCCGGGAGGAAGCAGAGACAGGACACCTGACCCAAACTGACCAAAGAGGTATTCCATACCACAGCACGTCATGCCGGGGATGTAACTGGGAGTTACCCAGAAGGGCTGGGAGACTGCGGGATTGGAGGAAGTATCGGTCAGAGTTTGGTCGGGCTGGGGTGGCGAGTTATCGGTTGGCTGGTGGTGAGGTGATGTATTCTCTTCCCTTGTTATTTCCTTTATCATTATTATCATTGGTGGTAGCAGTAGTGATTTGTGTTATACCTTAGTTACTAAACTGTTCTTTTCTCAACCCATGGGAGTTGCATTCTTTTTGATTCTCCTCTCTGTCCCTCCAGGAGTAGGGGGAGGGAAAGAAGGGGGGGAGTGAGTGAACGAGTTGCCTGACTGGGTTTAAACCACGACAAAACATTATTTCAGTAACTGCTAATTTTCAAATTAGCAATTAGGGAGAACTGCAGATTAAAAGGAGGTATAGGTTCTGTACCATTTCACCATGAAGGGGTTAATTTTGTCATTAAAGAAGCATGCAAAGAAAAGTAAAGTGAGCACAGATCTGGGTCAAATAGAGACTTTGGCAGCAATTCCAAAGCTAAATCCTTGACTGGCTACTTTCTTTGTACATGTACATTTTATTAGGTTTAACCTCAAATTTGTATACAAAATTGGCTTGTGCAGGTCTGTGAAAGTTGTACTAGAGCTCCTGAGTGGCTTCTCTAGATTCATCATCCTTCCTGTTTGTCATCCTCTCTGTAAAATGGAATTCCATTTTATATGCTGGACATGCTTTATGATGAGTGTGGTGGAATGAGGATATTCTTCTTTACATGTGTGCCCAGACAGTCTGTAAAGGCCTGAAGGCACTAGGAATGTGATTTCTCACCTCATGAAGGATTGCACAAAACTGATTCTTCAAGCACCTTGTCCCTAGTGAGTCTGCTATAATAAACAGTGTTTTCATCTGAAGGGATTCACCATTGTAGAGGAAGAATTTAATATATTCTGTTTTTCTGAAGACATAATTTTGCCTCCTCTTTCACTGCAAAACCCCTGAGCTAAATATTTGTTTATATTTGTGAACATGGTATGTCTGTCTGTGATGCTGGTAGGGCAGATTTAGATTTTGTTCAAATGTTTTGTTATGACAGAAAATTGCATTTATATTTTAAATTTACTATTTCAAAAATAAACACTACAGACAAAATTTTCCATCCTGACCTACACAGCAGCTCTCAACTCCAATAGTCTGTTCTTCCTGCATGAAGGAAACTCCCATTGATGTGTGGATCTGAGAGGAGAATTTTGCCCTAAGGGCTCAATTTTGCTCTGAGATTGACATATGCATATCATCAAAAATAGAATAATCTATGCATTTGAGGAGCTATCAGCAGCTCCCATGCAATGCTGTTGCTCTTGGAGATTTCTAACATCCTACTAAAATGTGTGATAGCGTGGGACCTATCCTAGGTCTAGTGTTTGAGCTAACAAATCCTCCCCCAAGCAGATGAGATTGAAGCAAAAAGATGATCTTTCTTTGTTATTGTATGTCGTGTTTTAAACCCAGTCAGGTAACTCGTTCACTCACTCTCCCCCTTCTTTCCCTCCCCCTACTCCTGGAGGGACAGAGAGGAGAATCAAAAAGAATGCAACTCCCATGGGTTGAGAAAAGAACAGTTTAGTAACTAAGGTATAACACAAATCACTGCTGCTACCACCAATGATAACAATGATAAAGGAAATAACAAGGGAAGAGAATACATCACCTCATCACCAGCCAATCGATAGCTCGCCACCCCAGCCCGACCAAACTCTGACCGATACTTCCTCCAAACCCGCAGTCTCCCAGCCCTTCCGAGTAACTCCCAGTTACATCCCCGGCATGACATGCTGTAGTATGGAATACCTCTTTGGTCAGTTTGGGTCAGGTGTCCTGTCTCTGCTTCCTCCCGGCTTCCCCTCCTCCCTGGCAGAGCATGAGGCTCACAAAGTCCTTGGCCAAACCAAAATATCATTGTTATCAGCTCTGTTCCTGAGCCAAAAGTCAAAACACAGCACTGCACCAGCTACCAAGAAGGAGAAAAATGACTGCTACTGCTGAACCCAGGACATTGTAATTATTCATAATATGACATCTCAGGCAAATTTAACAAATGCTTTTTATTCTATATCACTTCCTTGAGTAGCTCTCATTCTAGGGCTTTCTCAGGCAGGTACTCAGTCAGAATCTGTCTGGCTTCATGTGATTTTTCACATCCTTTGACATTGTCTGAGAGCCAGCTGCAAAATATGGCCTTTTCCTAGAGGAGTGAGTGGGTTACACTTGTTGTAAGAATTATACTTTCATTGAGGCTGGAATAGTACTTCAGTGTCTTATTTCTTCTTGGTGTTCATAAATCTAGAAAAAGTTATCTGAGGAGAAAAAAATCATCACCTCATCTCCTTCTTGCACAGCAAGCCTCTGTGGTCTTTTTTTTCCACCTGTTTTCCTCCAGATTTTCCTGCTGTCCTAAATAGTATGACCACTTACCTCTGGTGAGCACAAGTTTGGATAGAAATCATTAGTAATTCCCATTGATTTCCCTCATCACTTCTTGTCTCACCCTTCCTTTCCCATTTGTGCTGGTGGTGAAGTTCTGCTCATCTCAGCTACAATGCATTTCAGGTAGCATTAGCCACCTAACAAGCAAATTCTGAGTCCAAAAATAAGGTCTATGCTTCTTCTAGAGGAAGACACTGTTGAGCAGTTCCCAGCACTGCCTACTGTGTCACTTTCCCTATGTCACACAGTTCCTCTAAGGACATCAAAAGGGTTCTTCAGAGCAATTGATTAAAAAACTTTTAAAGTGAATGGGATGGCTTGTAGCTCACAAGAACTGTGATGGTATGAATATTCCATTAGTTTTTTAACAAAGGTCAAATGACCACAGTTTGGGAATGCAGATTTATGTAAACAATAGCATACTTCATCCCCAGGGACTGGTTATACAGCTTGGAGTGGGATAGAACTAGTTCAGTGCCCAAAACTCCTACTACAGGGGATGGAGGTCTAGTTAATTCAGTCAGTGGAGTGTAGAGCAGATGCTTAGGAACTGACTCATTTACAAAGGGGACATGTTCTATGTTGCCCGAGATCTCAAAGTGAAGACAGCTGTTTTGATGTAATATGTATGAGGGGCCTTCTGGAAAGGAAACTGGCAGCCTGAAGGGTATACTAGAGTGTCTGAAATGGCAGCTGACTGAACCATGGATCTTCCCATTGAGTAGACTGACACCTTATTCTTTTGTAGGCATCTACATTGTTAACACCTAAGTTTAGGTATCTATATTTTGAACAAAATTCCTCTCCAGAGTCGCTAATTCCTGAGCCATGACTAATTCCTGGAATTTGGTCACATTGACTATGACATATAGTATAAGATTAATCTAACAAATTGAGTGGTATTCCTTCTTATTTTGTATCTGATGTTTTCCAACAGCATAGATACTTTAATAAGTAAAACAAATAGCTTATCTTGTTAATACTGATAATAATTTGTTCTTATTTGGATGTTTATATTAATAAATGCTTTTGGAAAAAGTCTCTTTTAAAAAGCATGAATATTTGCAGTCAATGCACCAAAGTGATTCCAAATGTCATAAAAATATATTTCTAGCTGTTACTTGAACCTATGTTCAGGGACCTGTTTTCTCACTGTATGTCTGTGCCTCTCCTTCCTGCTGTAGTGATACTTAGTTGCTGCTTGGAGCTACAACATAACTTCTCCATGCTCTCACATCTGCTTAAGCTTGAGTCCGAAACTACTACTCCAAACCTTTCAACTTCAAAATGTTTCACAAACATTTAAACTAATCACAGCAATATCCTTCAGTAGGAAATACAACACATTTTACATGTGAGGAAACCAATAGAGAGAGAGATAAAATAGTATCCTGAGAGACCACATCAAATCCTTAATCTCTTTGGGTCACTAAGCATGCTGCCAGACAATATGGAAATGTATGAGCTGTAAAGCAATTTGTGGGGTTTTCAAAAACTGTGACTATCTGAGGTAGTGGTTGTGACTAACTCTTACAGTATGCCCACTGTGGGTATGATTGATGATGCTCTCATGCTGTACAGGGGGACAGCTGTGATGGTAGGACACTGACAAAACAATGGCTGATTGTCATACTCCTCGCATCAGTCTCCTACAGTGAAAAGCATATGTCTGAAGGTCATACACAAAACACTGACTTTTGGAAATAATACCTCAAGGTCAACAGATCAGCATATATGCAGCTGAAATATGATTTGGTTCCTCAAAATGGCATAAATGTCGGACTGCACTGTTTTCTGTAACAGAGATGCCTTAAATCAGAAATAGATGTAACCCTCTGAAGGTGAAAATTCCACCTCCTGAAGCTGATAAGGCCAGCAATGAAGCATCTGTCATACTCCTGATAGACACAAGAGGACACTGGTACTAGAAAGAAAAGTTATTTTATACATTTATAGGAATTCAATTCCTATAAGAAAGACCCCCCCCCCAAATTAAGCATAAATTTAAATCTCTAAGGCAGCAAAAACCTGCACTGATAGATCCAGCAGGCTGAGAAAAAAACCTAAAACGAAATAAAGCACAAAAATCCAGAGCCTTTCCTTACGATTTATGTGATGCAGCTGAGTGCATCTGTAGTGGGCACTCATGAAATCACTTTTCATTAAATCATACTTTTCCTGCCTTTAGTTTTTTCCATATGTCATAAACCAATACTGCTTTTCTCTTCTGATCAGATGAGCCGAGTATCTTCTTCTACTGGCAGATGAGACCTCAGGCTGCATCTTGTCTTCCATCATAATGGAATCCACTGTACAGGAGCACTTGGGGTGGCACCTCTTGGTAATATTTTTTTTTACTACACGAGAGTAATCGGCTGATGCTTCCCAGAATTGTTGGGCTGCTAAGGCTCTGGTAAACCCTGTATATGCCTCAAGGAAAACCGTACATGCCTCGCAGGGGTCCAGGAAAGTAGGTGAGTGAGGGTAGACTACCATGATCAGAAAAATGGCTAATGCTTATGAGAATCCTGTTGCTTGAGGACCATTCCCTGTTCACTTGCCATGAATAAGGAGGGAGCAAAGTTGAATGAATTGTCTAGCAAGGTTGGTGAGCTGGGTATCCCTTTCATAAACCTGGGGCTTAGCTGGAACTTTCTGAAGCAGTTGTGAATTGGAGACTGTCTGCTTCTGAAATCTCTTTTTCTAGGTCAGATTGCCAGCTGCAGAACACCAACATGTTCACTAACACAACTTGTTACCTTGCATCCTGCTTTAGGGCTGGATTTTGTCTCTTTACTAACTGGGTTATGAATGTGATGTGACTCAAGGAGAGACAATTTAGCCAATGGAGGCAAAAGTCCACCTGTGGTCCTCAGGTCTGCCATATGCCTCTCTCATTCCAGCACATGGCATGGTCTATGGCCTAGCCTCATTAAGACTGCTAATCTCTTCCTGGAGCTAACACGTCTACTGTGATGTTCAGAAAAAAAAATCCCAACACTGAGAGCAGAACAGAGACCTAATACTATTTTTTCAGGTATTGTTTCAGTACTGGAAGGCTGATTATCTTTCCTTGTTATGTCGTACATTTTGAATTTTAAGGTAACCTGATCTGAGAACGGGACAGCTTTTCCCTCCTGATAGAAATTCTTCTTTCCAAGCCTTAAAGATAATAAAACTTGCAATGCTGATATTCATTTATCTTATTTGCCAACATTAGGAAGTGTAATTCTATTTCTGCTTTCAAATCTCTTTTCAGCAAGCTTTTTTTCTCACCATCCCTTCTCTTTCTCTCTCTGCTTTACCCTCTCTCTTGGTGCTCAACCTTGTCAATGCTCTAGTTCATTCACATTTCACATTGCTGATCAAGGTAATGTGTTTAGGATTACAAAATGTTGATGGGTGTCCAAATGAAGCGGTAATGCTGTAGACCTCTTAATCTAGTGTATTTAATTAGAAATTTCTTAGGAACCCTCAATTCTTTAAATACTTTCTTGAGTGAAAGCTATAGGGAGACACAGTATCCAGTTTTCTTTAAGAACACCAGCTAGGGTAGGGAAAGTACTTGGTATTGATCATAACCAGCCCCAGGAATTCAGGCTCATCTGAGGGAGGGTTGTTCAATGAGCTGTGCAGGTACTTATCTCTCTATGTGAGTTTGATCACAGGACTTTTCCCTAGTCAGTGTTCTCTATATATTACAATTACCAACTTTGACAGTCAGGAATAATTTGTAACTTTTAGGTATTTTTAGAAGAATGGACCCCAGATCATGTTGTTGAGGATATTGCATTATGGAAACAGAAGGATTAAATGATAACAGTGTCATTATTTCTAAATTGCTGAACTTCCGTTCTCCTCTAAAGTTAGTAAGAAGAATGGTAGTAATCTAAGGACTCCCTTTCCTTTCACAGGGCTTCCCATACCACATAGTTCGAAGTCTAGTCTTTCAAAAATTCTTTTAAAGCCAAACTCTGAGAAAATTTTCAGAGTCAAAGCAATTGACAAAACTATAAACTTCATTTTTGGAAAACTATAAACTTGATTTTTGGTGTCTCTAGAGTTTAGCTCCAAACTCTTTGGAAGCTTTCCTAATAATCAAGAAAGGAACACAAATTATTCTTGTATTTGAGCTGCTTCTAGTAGATTAGAAAATCTCTGCAGTAATCCTGTTTTCACTCAGTCACATTTTCTTTAAAATAGTCCATTGGCAGTAAAAATTGTGTGTCATCTCAGTTTCATGACAAATATATTTTGAAAAGAAAACTGACATTTGGAAGATTTGTTCAGTCATTTTGCAATTGCGCACGTGTGAGCAGCCAGTAAACTTTTCGAGTTAAAAAAAAGAAATAAGATTGTGAGCAAGTTTTTATGATTGAAATGGTGCTAAATATACAGTTATATCTTCAGCTGTTGTAACCACTATGTACCTTGAATGATGTCAGTAAAACCACTCTCTTTTGGTTTTGTTAAGGACACAATGACCTACGCAGGTCCAACTTGAAGCAATAAGCTTTCTCACTGACTCAGGAGAATCTTGCCAAAATCAAAAGGGAAAAAATCCGTTAATATTTTTAAGCTGTGAGGGTTTAAAGTGATGGATTTGCTCAGGGTTGGGAGGAAAAATTTAATCTGGCTTCTTGTTTTGGATTAAGAAAAGTGCTTCCAGAGCCCTGAGTCTGAGTGAAGGTTGGCCTCACATTGGTCTGTAATAGCAGCACTTCTCTTGGAATCTGTAGCTCTGCAGAGATTATGAGAACATGGAATTTGGAGAAGGAAAGTTTGGCTATGTCAGAGGATAGTTTATTTCCCTGAAAGATTTGAATATTCCATAAACAGAGTATAGACCAGAATTTATGTGTAAATCCCACTGAATTTACACAGTGGGGAGACCAAAACTGTAGTAGCAGTTATTTTAAAAGCCATGAATTGTGAAAATAGAAGATGAAAACTTTTCTATAAATTTTTGCACTGTCCTATAGCATGTTGTTGCTGCACTGTAAGGATTTTAGCCAAAACATGGTTTTCTGAGAACCTGGAAGGAATTATTACGATGATATTAATTCATTGGGTCTTTCCATAAAGGTGTTACTATCCTGGTCTAACCTCAGATTCAGCTTTGGCTTGCTAAATGCCTTAACAAAATCTGATATTACGTCCTACCTCCTGGCAGGAGCTCATGGCCTGATGATGTATGTTTATCTACAGAGACAACTTTGTTTATGTGGTCGGGAGACAAAGAAACAACAGCTTGCAACATTACTCACTGGGTCAGCTCTTGCAGCAGCTTCAGGTTTTTCATGAATTTTCAGATGTGCCTATGCATGACGTTCATATAGAAGATCTTTTATTATCACCTGGCATATCACTGAGGTGAACAACACATTCTCTGCCTTTCAGCATAAAAAAAAAAAAGCAGATGTAACTTTCAGTAATTTTTTATTTATCCCCCCACCCCCCCCTTTCTTCTGGCTCTGCTTAAGGCTGTGTTTTGTTAGGTTTTCCAGATGATGCCCTTCTGTCTTCTGGCAATTCTAACCACATGGAATTCAAAGACTGCCTTTATTTATAATGGATTTTCAGACATTTGACAATGCGCTTGGGCCTAGAGTGTAGTTTAAGCCTTGCTCATCATATTCAGAGATCTGTCATACTGAGCATGGATGAGAGAGTCTTAGAAGCAGCAAGCCTGGGATTTCCATGGAGGGTATAATAAAGATGTAGCCAAGGACAAGCAGAGGAAAATATTTTCCCACCTTGATGTATCTGTTATGGTATTTGCCTGCTTCTCTTTTATACTGAAGGTGTGAGTTTCTTTGCTTTTTTTATTTATTACTGTACCACTGATCTTGGACCAGATCTGCTAAGACCTGTGCATCTTGAGAACAACAGATTTACTGGATGTGTGCAGGCCATCTGTGCCCTGCATGTTTAACAAGTCCAGTCCTTCCAACAACTGCTAGATTTACTGAACTTGTGCTATGTGGCTTAGACACCTAGAAAATGATGAGAGGAATTGCCCTAGTCCTAGTTCTTCTGGGGATTAGAAACAAGAGAAGTATCTTCCACTGTAGGAAAACTGACCTTCAAGGAGTGCTTCTGCATTCAGGATATTTATTCTGTGGGCTTTGGACAGAAGACAGATTCAGTGACTATCAGAAACCTTAGTATCTGAGAGAGAAATCTGTTTAACAGTTAATATGGCTTCAGGCTCTATAATTCCTCCAGACAGCAAAGCAACCTCTGCTGCTTTAAAAACTCCTTCAAGGTGTCATCCTTATCAGCATGGCACTTGTGAACCATTGTGCTAGCAAGCCACGGGGTGTGGGATTGGGTCTGCAGCCCTTACAGGTTAAGGATCCTGGACGATCGGTCTGGTTAAGGGCCGCAGAGCTGGCATAGATACACAGTGATGGGAAATGGGCAAAATACTAGGTCAATTTCTTGTACACAAATTAACTAATTTGTGTACAAGAGGAGGTAACCGATCATGCTAGGAATAAAAAAGAAGGAAGAAATTGTCTCGAGTGGAAGAATGAAGCAATGAAAAGTTTCTCTGCAGGGAAAACTCTGGATGTGAGGAAGATAACAGTAGAAGATGTGAATGACCCCATACTCTTTATCTGCTTTCAAAAGGGAAAACAGAAAATAATAGCTCTGTCTGCAAATAGGTGGTACTGAAGTCCTGACAGGTTTCTTTGGTTTCCAGTTACTTAGGCAGTCAAAATTAACTGTGAAAATGTTCAGGAGTATTTTGCTCCGAAATACTGAAATAGAAGGGTATTTTTTTTTTTTTTAGTTTTTTTTTTTTAAGGAAAGTATATTAACAAGGTGAAATCCATAACAGTCAAAGTCTCTGTGGCTGAAGAGAAAACTTTGCAATTTATATGGATCAAGACCCTATTTACAGAAGAGGTTGTGACTGGGATCTGGAACAAATAATTGGAACATCAAGAATTTACTCCTCACAAAGTAGTTCGAGTTTATTAAAATAACCAGTTTCTCAGTCCAGAAAGAAAGTGGGGACTTAGCTGATAACCCAAAATAGTACAAAGAAAGATGCTTGAGGAAGTTATAATTGGAGTCCTACAAGAGCAGCATCTGGACCTGCAGATGGTGTGGAAAATAACGCAAGCCATAAACTGGAAAAAGGTATGCAATAGATTACATCACTGTGAAATAGTTTGTAAGAAGCAGCATACAGGAGATCAATGACAGCACCATTTGCTCTGGGGGATTCTTCATAAGAGCAATTCATCAGAAGATGAATGGACTATCACCCTGAAAGCAAGTAAGACATTTATTCATTTTAAATTGGATATTGGCGCACATGATGGTGTGTTGATTGAAATAATGTTATCCTCCTGACAAGAAGCAGATAATGGAGAGTCAGGGGAGGCTTACAGGGGTAAGCTAATAGCAACTAAAGGTAACATGAGGGTAAATAAAGTAGACAGATACAGTCTGTATTAACTTTATGGAGAAGACCATCCATTATGGAATAAATAATATGTTGAGCCTTTGTTCTCACCAGGATGATGTGCTCACGGGAGAGGACAGGAGGACAATATACCTGAGGAAGCGTTAGAGGACACCAGCTAAGGAACAAGTTGTTTCTGAGCAGAACACACTTCAGTGGAGAAAGTCAGCATCCTTGCAGTCCCTCTTGTT